AACTTGGACCAATTTCATTGAGCTTGTGGGAGTCTTGCAGCAAATCGCAATCACAGGCTTTCAAGCCCAGGGTGCTGCAAATCTAATTCATAGTTTATTAAGAATTCATGTTAGACACTGAGGCAATTACCAAACTCTAATACTGTATCACAACCTAAAGAAATTCCTGAACACATCTGCATTTTTAACTAAAACAAGATCTCAATTGGACTAAAATTAGCAGAATTTACAACTTATATCAGATAATAACAACCTACATGCACATACAAATCGAGGAAGATGCATTATAATGCACAACAATAACTAGTTAACGAACAAAAACCTTAAACGAAATAGTGTTACATATTCTTACATTATACCATGGAGGGTTAAAACTTAAAAACAGAAAAATGAATAATTCGTCAGGGTATCCCTTATCACTCTCTAGAAATTTTGATATCCAAATAACTGAGCACCCGAAGGAGCTAAAATTCAGAAAAAGCCTCGACTTGACATATCCTATCATCCCCAACGCTAAATAGGGTGAATACCAAAAATCAAAAACCAGCAGCATCTAATTATTACAATTAAAAAATATGGAATCATCAAATAATTCAAACAAATTAGGATGAAATTGATTTACCCTCTCTTTTCGAGCGGCTTTCTTCTCCTCCTGTTCCTGGATGGCACGTTGGCGGCGAGCCTCGAGGGCTTTGAGTTCCTGTTCCTTAAAGGGCCAATCATTGGGGATTCCGGGGTCCTTCTCTGCCTTAGGCTTCTTGTTTATGAATTTCTTGGCCTCCTTTGCCTTCTTCTTTTGGTGCTCCTTTACCTTCCGTATTATCTTGTACTTCTTCTTCAATGGCACCCTCTTGCTCTTGCTCTCTACACAAGCAAAATAGAGCCAAATTCAAATCAAATTCACACACATGTACATAAATATACAAATATTATAGTAACTTCAGTACATTAAATGAATGGAAATACACTACTTTTGCTTCTCTTGACCATGCTTGAAAGTTTGAGCTTGGCCTGGTAGACAGGGCCGGACCTGTGTTCTGGTAGATAGAGTAAAAATACGATCTGCTTCACCAAGCCAAGCTTATCACCATTAATAAAAACAAATTTCAATAAAATAGCCCTATTCAGCCCACTTCATCTGAGAAATGTTCAATGCAAAAAGAGAAGAAGTGATACTAACCTAGAAACACACTATCAGCTGTCAAAGCCAGAGAAACAGGCAGAGTAATCCTCAATATCTCTAAACCAAGTTCGTCCAATTTGAAAACTGATCTGCTCCAACATTTAGAAAACAGAAATAGTTAGTACTATCTGTCTAGACAAGCCTCAAAATAGGTTGATAAAACTGAGAATCACTTGAAGCAATATATTACCCCTTATGCTCATTTCATACTTAAACCTTGATTAACACAAATATATTTTGAAATTTAGATAAAATCTTCCAAAATCTAAAGCCAAGTATAATGTGAAGTAAATTTAGTCTGGTAATCCGAATTTTAATGCCAAGGTTACAACAATTTATCAGATTCTAAACTAGCACTCAACACAACCATTGTGATTTACTGGTTCTTGAACATAACGTTGAATTCTGCGCACAATTATCTAAAATATATTTGGCACCTCGGACCTCCTAGAATTGTAGTCTTTTGACTAGAAAAGGTAATGCTAACTCAAACAATCATTTTATTCTGGACAATACGCAACTTAATCATAATGTAAATCAATTTGATATAGTGGAAAATAAGGGAATGTATACCGTATAAAATCAAAATGATTTATTGGACAAAATAAGTGAAACCCAGATCATGAATGCTGTAAAAATAAGAACTCAGCTAGCCTAGCTTAGTACTGCCGTTTGGAAAACCCAGAAGTAAAAATAGATCAGAAAAATCGTTTGAAAATCAATGCTAGATATACAAACTCAGAATAGAACTTCACGGGGAAATTGGAATTCATGCCCGTGGTTTCATAAATTAAGAGAGAAAGAAAAATTCAAAGAAATGCAAAAGCGGCCGAGAACTCAGAACTACACAGCAAATCAGCAATACTCAATGTAAAGTGTAAACAAAATACTTACAGACACCAGTTTCCACTGCCGTTTCTTCCGTCTGGAGACTGGACTCTGGACTCGTCTCTCAACTGGAGGTAAGTGAACGAACGGCCTGAACCTGAAGGCTGAACTGTTAAAGAAGGTAGGGTTAGAATAAAAAAGAAAAATGGGCCCTAAAAAATCTGGGCCTTAGGCGGAGGCCTCTTGGGCCTCTCCTCAGGTCCGGCCCTGCAAATAGTTAAAGATGCATGACAGTCAAATTGTAATTCCATCCCGCAACACCCCCCACCACCACATCACCTTCCCCCGTCATAAAATTCAGTACCAACATACTCAGTTCCAACAAGCTCGAATTTGGTGATAAAATCCACCAAAGCAAACATCACTTGTAATTACATGCCACAATATTTATTTTTTGCAACGAGATCCATACCCATGTAAACCTAACAACAAACTTACTGTCGCTTGCTATAAATTATGTTGGAGAAGATGAGTCCCGTCACCGAACAGCTCAAGAACGCCTTAGACGATTTTTCTATTGCAGCTGTATAACCGTGTCAGTCGAAGATTAGGTTCAGTTCTTCTGGTGCAGCAACAAAGTGGCGTGGAGATGCCTTTTTTTGGTGCCGGCGTCGGAAAACCTTTAAGATTTGGTGCGGCGATGTAGGGTTCGCGAGATTTGGGGGAAAACAAATGGATTTTGGATTGTGCAGGTTGGGTAGTGTGATTATGCAGGTTCAAACAAACGGCGTATTGCTTCTTACCCTTTTTATGTAAAGGATTTATCTAGGATGGCAAAAAAACTCGTCGGCTGGATCCGAGACCCATTTTAGGGAGTCTGATCGAGCCCGACCCAGCCCGTGGCCGAGCGAGCCTGTCCTAAAATAAATTAAAATAAAATTTTTTTTAAAGAGCTATTTGTGCAATGATAGCATGTTGCTGCCTGTTGCATGCACATGCAGCAATATGCAACAGGCAGTGCATGCAACAGGCAGCAACATGCTGCCTATTTTAGTTGCCTGCAAAGGCAGCAATTTAAAAAACAAAAAAAATACAAGAAACCCAAGTCGGCTCAGCCCGTTAAGCCTCATTTTTTTTGCCAGGCTCGGCTCGGGCCGAAAAGCGAGCCGAAAAAAACTTGGGCTCAACTCAAGCTTTTTTTCCCTGCTCTGGCTCGACTCGTTGACATCACTAGATCCATCTCGATGATGGCTTTTGTGTAGGATAGACTCGTGGGCCTTTCTTTTGAAAGGCTTAACAAAGTCTCTTATGGCCAATTATTATTACAGCGTTCTCTGCTTCTAGCGGCAACATGCTTGGTCCCGTTGACCAAGTTTAATAGCGATAGCTTTAGGATTAGGAGAGGAGCGAGTTTATGAGCCATCACTAGAGCTGTAAAACCGCCACCACACTTACTTGAGCATTGCAGGAGACTAGGGAATGGGTTGAGTAAACTCCCCTGGGGTCGCCCAGAGGTCATAAAGGAGGGGATGAGAATGTTGGAGGAGGAATTCCTAATTCTTACACGAATAATTAAATTAAAAAAAAAAAAAAAAGCATTTGGAGGATTTGAGAGGTTTGGTAATGACTGTGGAGGGTTCGCGAGATTTGGGGGAAAAGAAATGGTTTTGGAATTACGATAGTGGTATTATGCGGGTTTTCACATTGAGCCGATTTTTGGGTTTTTTGAACGTTGTCTTTTTTTCTTTTCTCCTATTAATTTTAAATTTTTCCATGACAGAAAGTCAGCCCATTTGTCATCCGTTTCTATTACCGATAGTGGAATTGAAAGAAAGTTTGGCAAAAAAAATTCGGAAAATGCTATGGGTACATAGCACAATATTCCATGTGGTATTGTGCTATGTACCCATGAATAAATCCTTATGTACGGGGAATTTGTTCACAGGGCTTTACTGGCCCCTCACAGGGGGCCGAGCCCCACATGTATTAAAAAAAAATCGGACGGACCCCACTATATGAGTTGTCTGTACAACATCTATAAAAGAAATAATTTTGTACAGCAAGGAGGGTTCATGTACCCAGAGCACAACCAAAAATTACCAACATTCCTTCCCCCAGTTCCCCACTCCCACCAAAATATGCAACTGAAGTAGTACTTTAGTCTTTAGTAGTTGTACCCTTTAAACTCAAGCAAAGCCCCTCGACTCATGCACCAGTGCATAGGATTCGCAAACTTCAATCCCTATTTTTTCTTGCTTCCTTCAATCTTAATCTTCACTTCACATTACGTATCATTGTCATCACCTAATCCTGTTTCCTGTTCATCTTACACAATTTCAACTAATCGTCCCATCTTTGGAGTGAATTTTTGGGAAATAATCGAAAAAAATGCCGGAAGAGAAGGATGCAACGTCAGTGCCACTCAGTCAAGGGTCCCGCGAAGAAGAAGATCCCGAGGATCCCGTTAAATCTCCGCCTAATTCTCCTAATTCTTCCACTCATAAGGTATTCATCTTTTCTACAAATTTTTTTTTTCCCATTTTTAGAAGATTTTTCGAATGCAGACCAATATTCACGATTCAAACATTTCGATTGCTGTTTCCCTATTTAATTTGAATGATTTGGTCTCAGCCTGCTTATGAAATTGATATTTCGTATATATTTAGAACTTTTTTGTACAAATTTGTTATATTGATTGTGCTTGAATTTAGTTATTATATTTTTCTGCATTGTTGTGTGGGTAATTTAATTTTGCTTCGACTTATTAAAAAAAAAAATTGATGATTCAGATGGATAGTCTTTGAATTTAACGGGGAGAAATCATTTAAGTTCAAATGCAACTTCAATTCCTATGTACCTTTAAGCAGTCAAGGAAAAAATCATTGACATTACCAAACTCTAGTTGAAGATTGAATCTTTTACTAACTGACTTGTTAGTAAGTTCAACCTATTAAAATTTGTTTTTAATATGTCAAATGGTCTAAAATAAGGAGAGAAAAAGACATCTAAATAGCATGTAGAGCAAAGCACTTATGAAAACAAATCTCCCAGTAATCTTCTGCAATGTTGGATCTGCTCCACCCTGCCAACACCAATTCAAATTATATGTGAGAATTTACCCAAGCAGAACAATATTTGATTTAAGTGTTAATTGGATATTAAAATCTGAACCATCAATCTTCTCAAAGAAAGACATAAGCCGCGGCCGAGGATCTTCCTAATATACTTCAAGTCATTAGCTTTCACAATATTCCATGAAAATCAAATGGTCCATTATATCTGTTTAGTTGAACAGTGGAGATCCACATAACATCATTAAAAACAGCTTAGCGCCGAGTTGAAGTGGGAACAAGTCTCAGAGAGAGAGAATAAGTGGAAGTAGGAGTAGCAAGGTATGGACTGCATATAATAGGGGGGGTGCGAAATCCAATCAATTCCCCAGAAGTTGGGAAAGATATTTTGCTTTTTACTAGCTTGAGTTCGGCACCTTCCTTTGAACTAGTGGAGTCATAAGTTTTGCAGTTCATCTGTCGTACATTGTGCTGAAAAGTTACTATACATCCATGCTTCTTGAATTTGTTATTTCTCCAACCTCAAGATTTCTTCCCTTTTGGATTCAACTTTCAACTATTGTCTATTTTAAGTTTTTTCATGGCTCTAATTAGTCTTGGATCTGTATTTTAACGTTGTTCATTAATAACCGATATTGAATATGAATTTATGATTAATGTTACTGGAAGGCCTAAATTAGAAAGCAACATAATTTTGGACTCATAATTGGTAGCAATGAAAAGGATGATTATGCTTCAATATTTTTTTCTTTTTCTTTTGCTAGAGATAGAGGAAATAAGTCTCCCCAGCTATGTGTAATACATACTTAATTCGTCACTGGCTTTTCTTTACCTTTTTCCTTCGGGGATCAAATAAATTTTCTCTAACCTCCATCCTATTTTACATTATGAAACACTGATTTTTGGCAATCACGAAGACCAGTTTTGAGGACATTTGTAGGTCCACTTCCTCACTTGACTTCCAGTTGAAATTTGTATGGAAATCGTTGGTATTACGAGGTTGGTGAAATGTTTTAATAAGATGTTAAAGAGTAAAAAAAGATGCTAGATGAATAGAGAAATAGCATTATGGAGCCTTATAGTTATTCAAAATTGTATAAATTGCAGAACTATTAAGGTTATAGTATCTATTACAACAGTGATTGGACTTGTTATGCTTTATGATTTTGCCCACCTGTTTTCAAGTTTACTGTGTATACTTCTTTGCCGACCCATTTTCAAGTTAGCGGATCCTCATTAGTTTTTTCTTCTATGGTAAAGGGTGGAAACTCCACTTTGTTTGGTAGAGCAATAAAGAGGAAGAGAAAGAAAGAAGAGAGAAGAGGAATTGGAGAATTTGGGAGAGAAATTTAGAAACAATCTCACATATGTTTTGCCATAAAAATCATTATCTTCATCATTCAACAATACTAGTCCTATTTAGAGGTGAAATTCTTAAGATGGCAAAATCTTAAAAATTAGCAATTGGAAATTTTTCCTGGAACTAATATTCCTTGCACAAAATAAATTAATAGCTATTCTCTACTTTTGTGCCCACTGCCCATAATAAGTTCGCGTATTTGGCACGTGATCTCCCACATTAAGACGGTAATTTTCTTCACTATATATCTCCCTCAGTATATTAAGGAGCTTTTCATTTAAACCTTTAACATGCATGTTATGCTTCTCTTCTAAGATTTCTGTTTTTTAGCAAGATATATTTTGTTTAATGGGGCCGTGGTCGCAAGTGTTGTGATCAAAACATCAATTATGCTGACAACAAGGTCAATTTAAAGATGTTGAGTGGAAGAGTTAAAATATCCACGAAAATAGACACAAAAGTTTTACTTGGTGCAACAATTTGCCTACGTCCAAAGAAGCCAACATACTTTGTATCTTGTAAATGGGAGTAGCCCTCTCTCAAGTTCAAGAGTTTGCAACTTCCCTTTTTTTTTTTTTACCATTTTCTTTATCCAATGGATTAGGCATCGGTCAATGGAAAATCTCCCACCTAGGCATAAGAGGACTTAAAAATAAATAAATAAAAGGTAATATTACAAAATTTCTTTTTTAAGCGCGAAGATTACAATTGACTATTCCTCTGAATATCAACCTGACCCAAATTGGCTCTCTACTGGACTTCAAACTCACTTTAAGTCAGAAACACTCTTTTCTATCATTTCTGTCAGGAGCTTATTATCTTGAAATGAGTATTCTAGCGCAAATTTCTTCCAACAATGAAAAGCAAGCAAGTATATTGTGTGTGATGGGCTTGCCTAGACAGCCTAGTCCCTGGGCAATTAGTATAACTTAGAAAAGGAAATTGACCAGCATGACTAATAGGTAACCTAAAAGCTTGTCTTTGCCACAAAACATGATATAAAACTCATGCGATACATTGGAATTCTGATAATCAACCATTCTTCATTCGTGGAGAATTATAATTTGATCTTATTTGGTGTGTATATGCATGTATAAATTTTTTTTTCCATTTTTGATGGAATATATTCTCGTATTTTCTTTTGTTCAGGCATGCTGTTTTGTTCTTCAAAGTTGGGTCTCAAAGAAGTTCATGACTGGATGGTAGGAACTTCACTTTTGCCTCGCATCTTTAGCTGATTGTTTCTTATTCTGAATCCATTGAGCCTGAGTATAATATAGTGTTAAATTCTGAAATTGCAGTGTAGTTCTATTTCCTGTTGCTGTCACATTTTTTGTGACTTGGTGGTTTATTCAGTTTGTTGATGGTTTCTTCAGTCCACTATATGAACAACTGGGCATTGACATATTTGGTAAGTCAGCAATCCATTCATTACTTGTTGCGTGAATTTCACTAGGCGATCTGTTTGTTTCTATGTACATGTGGCCTTTAAAATCTCAATCCATACATTTAGCGCTAAGCTCTAGTTAAAAATCAGTACAGTCCTGGAATCCTACGATCGAGAATGTTGAGTGGAAATTAGCAGGATGCAAGAGACGTTACCCTCATAGGGAGGCAAAATGATTATTTTGAAGATTACTGTTGCTAGCTTGCTGTTACATGCCTCTGTTTGAGACCGGTCTCTGTTGCTATGAGGATATAACAATTGAAGAAATATTTTCTTTTGGTAGGGAATGGGTAAATATAAAAAAGTCATCTGGCCAATTGGAAATTAGTGAAGGCTCTTAACAGATCTGGTTAGAATCAGACATTCTGACATTTAATATAGCTTTATTGGGCAAGTGGTTGTGGAGGTTTGGATTGTGAGCAGAACTCACTCTGGAAGCCAATGATTGTTGCGAAATATGAATGAGAGAGGAGTGGGTGGAAAACTAAAGAGCCCCAACTCCTTGCGGTCATATGGTGTTTGGATTTGGAGAGGTATCTTGTACAACTATATGTATTTTACAGGAGAGTTGCTCTTGGAATTGAGAATGTTTGTTGTGGCAGTTCTCAGCACTAAAGGAAGACCTCAGTCTATTGTTCAATATTTTAGTCAATGGCTTCTATGACTGACTTCGTGTAGGGTATTAATAAAGTGGCAACATGGAGCATGATGTTTACTTGTTTATGAGGGCAATTCAAGATTGGGATTACAGGATGGTCTTCTCAAGAAGCTGTATGGATAAATGTGAATGGAAGGAGGACAAATGAAAGGAGGGACTCTAGTAATAAAAATGTAATTTACTATTTATTTCTATCATCTTCTTATTAGGAGTATGGCCTTGGATTTCCCCTAGAGAGTTGTTTGGATCAGAAGGGGTTTAGAAATAAAAGCTTCTTTTATATGAACATCTGGTAGAGGAGCTACACTCTTTGCAGATAACTTGAGGAAACAGATATTGGTAGTTAGAGGATAAAAATTACACGCTTATCCGCCTTGGATACTGCGTCGGCGTATGGAATTTACTACTTGGCATATTTGGTTTTTTAGGTGATGCCACACTGGTAAGCATATTTGTTTATTTGGCATTGTTGTGGTAATCGTATTGACGAAGGTGAGAGCCTAGTAATTGGCCCACACTGCTTGATGCGGGTTTACGGCAGGAAAGAAATAGAAGAGCTTTTGAAGGAATGTGGAATCCTTCATGGCATTTTAAGAGCATTTTGATGTTTTCCTCTATTGTTAGAGTAGGCATCATTTCCCACTTATGGAGATTCATAGATGGATCTTTCGGAAGTTATATATGATATAGTTTGATTACTGTAAATAGCTTGCATACCTTTTTTTCCCCTTCTTATTAGTCTAATGTATTTTATTTTTCTCCCATTTTCTCAAAAGTACCCGTGGTATGCCTGTAGAGTTGATTCTTTTGGATGCAGGTCTTGGATTTGTGACATCTTTACTTTTCGTATTCCTCGTTGGTGTCTTCGTTTCATCATGGCTGGGTGCTACAGTTTTCTGGATTGGAGAGTGGATTATAAAGCGAATGCCGTTTGTTAAGCATCTATACTCGGCCTCCAAGCAAATAAGTTCTGCAGTTTCTCCAGGTAAAGAATAGCCATTTATCCATGCTTTTATCTAAATTTAATCATTTGAAGTGATTCAAAATGTGAATCCTCTTATACTATTTGTGCACAGAATGGCATTTGTCTTAAGACTCCCGTCCCCTGAAAAATAAAGGAAAAGAAGAATGACAAGGAAAGAAGTCTTTCATGAGTCAGAAATTGAACTCACTTCAGTTTCCTGTATAAATCAACGTGGATTTATATCGTAATTGTTTTATGATATTACCACTTCATGTTAAAGAATTTAACTTAAAAAAATAAGTTTGCAATGATTACAAAGGCTGCGATCCACATAATAAGCTTTTGACAAACATCCTCCTTCGCGTACATACATCCATGGATGGCAACTTAAATTAGTATTTGCAATTTCACAAGTACAAGGAAATGAAATTTATATTGTAGCAATGAAAAAGGAAAAAAAGGGATATTGAATGGACAGTAAGGAAATGAAAACGGTTACTATAAAGACAAAAAGAAATGGGGATTCACTCAAACCTTTTATGGGTCTCAAGAAATGCTTCATTTGATCTTTCCCTTTGCTTTCAATGGTTAATTGATTTTAATCTGTTTTATATTATTTGCAGACCAAAATACTACTGCATTTAAGGAAGTAGCAATTATACGTCATCCACGAGTAGGAGAATATGCATTTGGATTTATCACTTCATCTGTCCTGCTTCAGGTACTTGTGATTTACCAAAGGTCTTATATCCTTCAAGATAGCATTTCATTTTTAAAGACTGGACTAGTTATCTCGTCTTTAGATGTCATTGTTAGATCTAGCCTATATATACTATGCCAATATGTATACCAACTAATCAGTCGACTGTGTTTCGATGTACTTTCTATTGCTTTCCCCATTCCCTAACAAGTTGGTACTTAATTTTCTGAGCCATCTATTCATAGCTTTTCATGTTGTCTTTCATTTCAGAGATTAAAATGATGGGACTGTATATATTTCCGTTGGACATCAGACTGGAGCAATAGAATTCCATAGAAATAAATGAGTTAAATAAGTTTGATCATGTTTTATCAAAACTATCTGACCCTCTCTTTCATCTTCTTTTTGTTTTGTAACAATTCATTCATCTTTCAAAAAGATAAGTGCCCGGGAGATTTAATGTAGATCGTAGAACTTATCTTTAATGTATACAAGTTAATAACTTGGGTTCGTCCCATGAAAATATTTGGTAAGGGCCTTTGCAAATAAACTAGGGATTGTACATAGTTTAGGCCTAGTCCACTGTGAATATCTGTCTTTATGAGTTTAATGTGACAGCATCCATCAGATGTTTAAACTTTCATGATATATGTGTTACTGTATTTGTGTCTATTTATCTTCTTTTCTTTAAACAGACTGATAATGGAGATGAAGAACTATGCAGTGTGTTCGTCCCTACAAATCACTTATATATAGGTGATATATTGTTGGTTAATTCTAAGGATATAATAAGACCTGAGCTGTCTATTCGTGAAGGAATAGGTATGATACTGGTTTGTGCTCTTCCCTTTTCATTTGTATTGCACCCAACTTTGTGTAGTGAAACCTTGCTGGTCAGTCCATGAGGACTATATTATAGACACCGGTTCTGGTGTCAAGTGAAGGAGGCAATTGAATACTGTATTAATAATGGGACTCGGAGCCAATGCTTAAGCACACAAACTCAAGACAGGATTTGCATTATCAATTTTGATATTAACATCTACATGTATTTTGGTTAATGTTAATGATATGCAGAGATCATTGTTTCTGGTGGCATGACAATGCCACAAAGGATTTTACCTGTTGAAAGGGTTGCTAGACGAGGTGAAAGAATTCCGCTCAACAGAATTCCTTAGAAATGCTGAAGTTTGATGTCAGGTAACTGTCAAAGTAATGGTAAAACAGGGAAATTTGGTATTCAGTCTAATTGAAACTTCCATTTGGGACTCGGATAAGTAATTTTGCTAATTGATCAAAATCGCAAATAAGTATCTTATTTGACAATGATAAAGACTTATTCTCAAAATAACTAACTTTATATTTAGCGTCATTATGACTACCAAATAAGTATCTTATTTTCATGCTTAAAAGAATGAAAATAGTTACTTGTCCAAACAAGTTTGGAAACAAAATGAAACTTAATTAAGCTTAGCCTAACATGCTATGTAATGTCTAACCTCGACTGGTGTGTAATCACAGGATAGCTGCCTCTCTCTGTTTCAACCAGAATTTAAGAACACAATTTCGATTGTACACACAAGAATGGAGAAGAAAGATGAAAGGGAAGCAGAAGGATCTTTTGTGGTTTATATGTTTAAATTGATTAGGACTAGTAGTGTGATAATTCTTCCCCGGATTTTTATACTTCGACTAATGTTGTATATGATCATGCTTTTGTATATTGTTGGATGGGGGGAAGGAGAAGGAACAATTTAGATACTGTGCTCTTGGAATCATAGATTTTGCACGATTTCTGTGCACTGCTGTAATCACATATGGAACCACAATCACTGCTACAATTTCATTTTTTGCTTTCTTGTGTTCACTTGGTTTCTTTATTTAATAAGTGGGATTTTGTTCTTGATACACTGAACTTTGAACATGTTTAGTAAATCGTAGTTATAAAATTTCAGGATTGGACCAGCCAGTTCAACTTGAAAACCGGCGAACTGGCTTATAGACCTCTCCACGGATTAGTCTGCCAATTTACGGGTCGAAAACTGGACAAACTTGCATGTGAACTGTTTTTTTTTAAGAGTCAGTTTTTGATGAAAATACAAAGGTTGCTGCAAGAGCCAAGTTTTTATATAACGCTGAACCTTTGCTATAATGAGGAATTAGGAATGTGCCCAGTGGCGTGTGGTTTTGCTGGCGTCATAAATTGCTTTTGTATTTTTATTTACTCCATTGTATAAAATGATTTCGTTTTTTATCCCACCACCTATTGTAGTGTGACATGGCACCCGAGCTAAGCACCCATTTGTGTAGTTTTGTATTTTTGTCCTTTTTTGTATTTTATTGTATAGTGATGAATAGTTAAATATTGTGTTTAAATTTTGATTTTTGGATTGGAAAATTACACAAAATAACCGTATTTATATGGTTATGCAAGCAAATTAATAGGAAAAATAATACTAAAATGTGATAAATCATTGTTTTGACAATCGTTTCTACATTTATCTAGGGTTCATAATATTGACATAGACATGGGCATGGAAAAGGTGATTATGATCATTGATAGAGTGGATAGCAAAGAAAAATGTAGAATTCTTGTTTTTATTTGAAGGGGTGGATTGATTTAAAGAGCTATTGTCTTTTATTTATTTATTTATTTATTGAATTTAATTTCAAATGAT